CGACGCTGATCTCAGCAACCGAGAACGCCAACACGTTTGTGTATGGCGTGAGCTACGGCACGTACCTTGTCGAGCGCTTGATGCAACTCGAGAACCCGAGTATCAAGGGCTACATCCTCGACGGGATCGTGGCCAACTCGGGCAGCAAGGACAACAAGCTCACGGTCTTTAACGACTGGGACAAGGAAGTCGACGAAGCTGGTATTTTGTATCGACTGACATGAAAATGGGTGATGGACTCTTTGTATGTAGCGCAAACGTTTATTGATCTGTGCAAGACCGACACGTATTGCAGCAGCAAGTTCCAGACGCTGGGTACGTCGTCTCTATCTCTGACTCTATTCAAACACGAACCAAACTTAAATCGTTCTAGACCTTCGCACGACCATGGTGACAATGTACTCGACGATGGACCGCAACCCAAAGAGCTCCCAGTGCGCGATGGCACTCTCGTCGTCGTCGAGCACACCGTCGGCAGTGCTTCGGTCGCTCTTTTCGGACCTCCTGCAAAGCCAGAGTCTCCGTGCCCTCATCCCGGTATCTATCTATCTATCTATCTATCTATCTATCTATCTATCCATCTATCTATCTATCTATTTCGATGCTCATTCCCCGTCGTAGGCACTCGTGTACCGCTTCAACCGCTGCAATCAAGCCGATATTCTCGCAATCGCCAACTTTGCCACTCAAGTTCAAAACATGTTTGTACCATTCGTGCTATGCGACAGGGCGTCTCATCAAACTGTTTAGGGGCAACACGCAGGACGAGTCGGATGCGCTCGAGTCCACCATGCTTCACAACCTCATTGTGGTGTCTGAACTCTGGCGGACGCCCACGGAATCCTACGACACCCTCCAGAAGACGTTTATGAACACACTCATCGGCAGCAACATTGCAAGCTTGGTGACGACCTACTGCATTGCCAGCGGCGGCAAGGACCCCAACTGCGCTCAAGAGCGCTCGCCGGGCAACGACTACAAGTGGCAGTACCCGCGCGACTCGCACTACGACGTGCCGATCACCCTCTCCAAAGGCACCAGCGTTCTGCTGTTGAGCGGTCTCTTAGACCCGCAGACCGCGGCGAGAGGCGCTCGCAACCAGTACGACAGCTTCATCGGGACGGCCAAGCGCCTCGTCGAGTTCAATTACTCTGCCCACGGCACGATCATCAACACGCCTGTGACAACCCTGGTACACATTTTTTCAATACATAAAGACATGCTAAAGTTTGGATGGACGCTAGGGCGGAGCTCCGTGCGCGGCCCAGCTCGTTGGCTCGTTCGTTTCGGTCAACGGCGATGTGACGGCACTTGACACAAGTTGCCTCGCGACCGTTGCCCCCATGAGCTTCCAGATCAAGTCGTCATTGGCCCAAACACTCATGGCGACGTCCGACATCTACGACGGCACGCCCACCAAGCAGTACAAGGCCTCGTCGACGGCGCCGCCGGCCGATAAGGTCAGCGACGGGTCGGCGGCGACATCGACCGACGATGCAAGCGCGGGTGTGTCGGCGGGCTACCGCACCGCCACGATCATTGGTTTTGTTCTGGCGGCGTTGCTGGCCATTGGCCTGGTGATTGTTGTGCGTCGGCAGCGCAAGCAAGCCGCGGCAACGACCAGCATTTACGTCGAGCCCATCGAGCATTCGTCGGCGCCTTAATGCACCTATCGAGAGCGAAACGATGCAGCCCGTATTCTAGTAGACGAGAGTAATACTCTTCAAACACACATTGGTGTTGGATAAAAAAACTATTCGATCCAGCTGCCAGGGAACTTTAGGAACTTAATACTGGTAGGAACCTCCTGGTTACCCAGCAATGCCATGTCGCTCGGTGATGTGCATTGACCGGCCGCTCTTCCATCGTTCCTACCAGCCCACTCCCCCGGAGCCTAGTGACCTTCGTAGTACGGATCGAAAGATGGAGCATGATTTTTTGCCCCAGCGTCGTCGTGAGGGTGCCACCGTAGGCAAGTCTAGAAAAACCCAAGTGTAGCGGCAACCAGCGATGAGCAAAGAGTGTCATCCTTTATTTTCAAAAGTGGACACGCCGTTGTCGCACTACCGTGGGACGGAATGTGATGGCGAAGACACGAAGGCCATCGTCCGAAAAGAAATATAGACAATAAGCATCCTCGTAAATTGCATGGCCCAGTTGAATTCGGTTGCTACGGAGCTTGCTTGCACCAGTCACACGATAACAGAGACGTCACTTTTGCCTCCTTCTCGACCGAGAAAAGACTCCGTGTCGAGGCTGCCGAAATCGAATCATGCGAAGGGATATTGTTAAGTTATTAACCCCTCGACAACTCTAGATAAAATCTAGACAGCTGCGTACGGAGACGCACTACCGATAAGCTCTCGTGTACTGAGATGAGACCTTGACAGCGCGCCTCTTTCGCCTCATGGGGATGTTTCCCGTCGAATGCTACATGTATGCTCGCGACAATCGTAGACACGTTGGGAGGGAGCCACAACAAACTCGTACATATTGTGCATTGGCATATGTAGACAGGCGCTTGACAACGTTAGCGAAACGACCTGCTGCCAGATGGTTGCTGACGTTACCAGCCGCCTTCATGGCATGGCACGACTTGGAGGGAGCACACGTCGCAACGACACAGACTCTTCAGACACTCTGTCATATTCAGTTGACCTAGGTTGCTACGGAATTTTAGAGCCGAAAAGAGTGCCAAACGCAAAATCACAGCGACAGAGAGACGCACTCGACGAGTCCTGTCCCCAAACGACGACACTATCAGTCTACGTAATAGATGCACACACTTGACATATAGAAGAAGATCAAAGGCTAGACTGCTGCGTACGGAGCCGCTCACGACGTCGCTTGCTTCATGAGCAACCGTCGGCGGCGTGGACGGGGTGTCGCAAGGCGCCGTGAAGCGGAGCTGCAACACGAGACCACCAAGAAATGCCAGCGCGAGCACAACGATTGTCACCGTGCCGTTAACGCCCATGTCGAACGAAGACGCGTAGTGTCCAAACGTGCGGTCGTTTGTCCCCGTCAAGACCGCGCCGAGCAGCGACGTGCCCGAAACACCGACGAGAGAATCAGCGCCGTGCGCGAGGTATAGCTCAGGTACGCCCCGGCGATCGTGACGACCGAAATGACGACCACGAGAAGCGCGTCGTATGTGTAGATGTTGGCGACGACCGCATCGGTGACCAAAGCACGACAGTGCCAAAGCGACCAACAACGTGGACGCGGGCGGCGACGACCGCAGCCATGATGCCGACGGCAAGCGTAATGAGAGCGCGCATGGGCTCCACGAAGTCAGCGATGAAAACATGCACCAAAGAGCGGCGGAGAAGAAGCTGGAGACGGCGCCCGTGAACACATGGAGCCAGCAAAGGTCACGGGCAGCGCCAGCAAGAGCACAACGATTGAGACGATGGCGGTGATGGTGTCGAGGGCCATGATGATACTGGTCGACTTGTTGGAGAGTTGGAAAGTTGGCAAATGATAGTACTGCATCCCGAGCCACCTTGGTATCCATGGATGGTGTCACACGTGTCCACGACGGCAGACACTGACTCGTCTGTTTTTGCGGATGGCGACAGGGTGACCATCTGCGCTGGACAGCGTTAGCAAAAAAGATAAAAAATGGCCGCCTTCGTGTCCACAAGACATGTCGCGACTTGGATTTCCACATTACATTTTCAAAAACTGCTTTGTTTTCTTGTTTGTGTACACTCGTGGGTGTTGTGCGTCGCTAGGAGCCAAAACGATCGTCTTCTGGGGCGGAATTCTTGCGAATCCCTTCGCCTTCTAGATGTGAGCACGCGAGAAGCGAGACGTATCGGTCTCGAGGTAGTGGCAAAACGTTTACATTTTCACCCCTTCGCGCTTTCAGTATCCAAAATTCGATCCTCTCTTCTCTCGCCTGCTCGCCTTTCGAGCAGCATGGCAATTCCCTGAGCGCGGTGTGCACGAGTGGCCGCGACGTCACCTCGTCCCGCGGATCGCGCTCCTGCCTCCGCCTGCCTAAATCAAGTCCCTCAACCGAGTACACACAACGAAGAAAGTCCGACAATTTTATTTAGCATAGTTTTATCGTAATAGACGACCCACTTCAACAACAACTGAGCGCGGTGTGCTGGTTGCACTTCCAAGCACAACCCCATCTGTTTTGGAGTGACAGATACAGCCAAGTGCCCAATCGAACGGCACTTCGCCGATTTTTTGACTTTTTTGCTCACTTTACAATTTATGGCGACTCGCGAGAACGACACGGAAGGCGCGATTGCAGTGACCGTGCCCTTGGCCACGCTTGTCCATTCCTCGTTGTCTGTACCCTCCGCCGACTCGAGCCTTGATGACGCTTCGTATGTTGTCGACATGGACGTCAAGGAGACCAAATGGCTTCTCGCATCCTGGGTGTCGCGTCAGATCGTGCTCACGGCCCAAGCGCTTCAAGTGTTTGACGGCGACAAACTTCAGTGGGCGTGCAAACCGACTGCTTGCACAACGCGTATCCTCGACGCTCTCGATACCACGCGGCGCTTCCCGTTGGAGCTCTGCGAACACGGCAAGACAGGCGTCCTCATCAACGCACCCACCGCGTCGGCGCGAGACGAGCTACTCGAGTACTTGTACGCAGCCTCGAACAGCGTTGCGTGGCCATCGCGCGTCGACCACTGGACACGGTTTCTCTCGGTCGCGCGCCGCATCAACGAGTCCCATCCCATTGGACCAACGGTGCCCAAGTGCAATGTGAGCATCGGCCTCGTCCAGCGCCATCTTGAAGACATGGTCGACGTCTACAACGTCTCGGGCGCCTTTACCGACATGGTCGACGTCTACAGCTACTTTTTAGAGCAAGAACGACTGTACGTGGCGGGCGGCGCCATCAACTTTGCACACACCGTGCATCGCCTGCACCCTGTGGACTTGTTTGCGAGCAAGAAGCAGCCGCCGTCCACGTTGACGCCGCTTGTCGACATCGTCAGCACCTGCGCCCACTGCAAGGCACCGCTGCCACCAGCTGTCTCGTTTCAGATGCACATTGCGATGCAGCCCGTCACGTGCCCCGCGTGCGACTGCCCGCTCTTGTACGAGACGTACAAGATATTGGGTTTTTTGGCGGCGTACCCCGGTGTCCTGGCCCGCTTTCCCGGTGTCACGGCGTCGCGATATGGCGCGAGGCTGCACACGTACCCCGGAGTACCCCGTGACGGTCGGTTCGCGACGTTTTTCGCTGCCTTGCTCGACATGGTCTTGGGGTGCGAACACACGCTTGAACTTGGTGCGCCGAGCTTGCGCACAAGTCTCCGCAAGCTGGCCGACACCATTGGTCAAGAAGCGATCGGCGCCTATACGATCGACCTTGTCCAAGGCATGTTTCGGCAGCTCGACTTTATCAACAAGATGGTACCCCACGCCGAGTACTGGAGGCATCCCCAAGTATTGGCCGCGGCCATAGTGCGCTACGAGCAGTTTATGTACCTCCTCGGGAGGCGCACGCGCAACGAACGCGGCCATTTTCTGACAACGTTGGTGCCGACAGTCGACATTGCCCTTGTGTGGCACGCGCACCAGACGACCGAACGCGCGTATCGCAACTACTGCCGTAGCCTCACCAAGCCCAAGTGCATTCTGGACGACGACGACGCGACGCGATGCGATGATGTCGCCAAGCGCTACGCCGACACGTACGTGCTATGGTCTCACACCTTCCGTACGCCGTACTCGAGCTGCCCACCGAGCTGGGAGGCGTGGATCGGGACCAAGGACCCTGTCTCGCGCCTCGTTTTGCGCAAGAAATGGACGACGTATGGCGCGCTGCCCTCCAAAGACAACCGGTTCTTTGGTGTTCACGAGTCGTTTACGGTTGACGCGCTGTCGTATGCGCATGGCGTCGCTCAAGCCAACGCGACTCATGCGCTTGATCCGATGCCGGTCTACGTCACGGTGATTGGGACGCCGGTTTTCGACGCCCGCGTCCGCATGCCGTTCTCGCACCAGACGCTGCTCATGTTTGACGGCGGTCTTCCATACTACCACTTGCCCCACGCCGGTGCGAATGTCGGCTACGGCTACTTTGGCCAGCTCCAAGGCGGTGGTGCTGTTGTGCACGATGCTGGCACCGCATCGTTTGGATACTTGTAAGTTCCGACGCTCGCCGTACTCGGGCCCGAGCCGTAAAGTTCAAGCCGATACTCACCAACGCCATCTTCAAGGCTAGGCTGTGTTTCTTTACTTAACTTTTATTTTTGCCTGTAGCAAATGTCTAACGTACAATTTGCTGGTAACATATACACACATTTTGATCAACACCAAACCGGACCTTTTTCATCGATGTGCTTTACGTCGATCGAGGCTAGTTAGCGCTGTGGATGATAACCCTCTTTTTGTCGTAGTCTTCAAGTCGTCGATGCAGCGTCGTCGCAAGCTCGGTAACTTTAAAATCCGACGCGGTGGCTTCCGGGGTCAGCTGTGTCCTGATCGGTGCTCCAGTCGAAATGCGTTTTATAGTAAAACCTATTCCAACACCATCAGGGAGGTCGTGTACAGCACGCCAATCCACCAAGAGAGTTACGTTCCTAATCATCCGGATACGGCCGAGAAAGGCCAGCGCGTGCAACACTTCTCGGAAAGGCAAAGTGCAAGTGTCCAGCATGCACCTCCTGCTGCTGCTTGTGGCCCTGGCGGTTGTCGACGCAGCGACCAGCCCCATCAAGATCAACGGCTGGTACGCCTGCAGCGCCCGGACGTTCGCGACGCCGGCGCCGGCGACGGTCGCACCATCGGCCAGCTTCAAGACCACGGCCTTCTCGGCGGCAGAGCCCGACGTCCTGGCCACGCTGCTTCGGCCCTTTGATGCGTCATCCATCGCAGACTTTGCCGTGGCCTCGTACACAAGCAACGTCCAGCGTGCCTGTCGAGTGCGCCGAGTTCACTCTCCGCTCTGCTACGAGAATCT